TTTTTTTTTTTTTTTTTTTTTTCCCCCCCCCCCCCCCCCCCCCCCCCCTTTTTATCTATTGCTCTCTTGATTCAATTTAATTCAGTGGGCTTTACTGACACGGTGGTTTAAGAAACAAAAAGTTACCCACATTGCCAAGTGTTTTATCACAGTGACAACAATAATGGAAATGCTGACAATGAGAGAGAAATTAGAGTCTAGAGAATTAAAAAGATAGTGGACAAAACTAGGTTTCTTTCCTCATCTCTGCCTTGCTCTCTACTCCACTTTCTTCTTCCTTTTCTTTTCTACTTCTTTTTCCCTTTTCTGTCTCCGTGTGCTTCTCTTCCTCTCCCTCTTTTTCTCTCATCTGCTAAGCTAGCAGGAAAAGTGTTTTCTGAATCTCTTGTGTCAGCACCACTGTCAGACCTACACACCGCTTCCTAACTAAATATTATTCCTCCCTCTTTTTTTTCCCACCATCAGCTGCCTCTTTCTTTTTTCCTTTCTCCTCCTCCTCTGCGTTTTGCAGGGACACTGTACGTTTACAGCGGTTGTGTTGCATTCACATCTCGCTCGTTTTTGTTTCGTTTCCAGCTTTGTATTGTTGCCTTGATCCTGGCTCCGCTTTTTTTTTCTGCTGCATGTCTCTAGGTATTTGTTATTTAACCCCTAAGGATTACTGCATTAAAAGAGATAGCAATAATGCAAGGACCAGGGGTTGAACCCCCATTCAGATGTAGAATTAGGTAAAAACAAAATCAACATTTACGTTTACATTTTCACTTTTAATTTCCCTTTTTTTTTTTTGCTCATCTTTTGTAATTCCACCAAATCCAGACACATACAAACACTGGCACACACAGTCACACCCCCTGGTTTCTACCACCAGAGTAATACGCTGCCATTAGCTGAATGAGTGCTGACGTGGGAAGTTGTTAACACGGGCACTTACGCACACCAACACAGGATATTACTCTGTCATTTGCACCTACCGGCCATGGACAAACACAATCAGTTTTCACACACTCTCTGATTCACGAACTCACACACACATACATGTTGAAAACTAATCACTGTTCGGAGCCAGAGTGTATACATGACAGCTACGAACAGATAAATCAATCATCTGGAACAAGTGCTGCAAGCTACTGAGTCAGGGATTATAGACTTGCTGTTGATAGAATGAGGCTGCTGTATGAGAGTAAAAAAAAAACGGGTAGAATCTGGGTAGAGTATATCTGCTTTAAACTGAAATCTCTGTCCATATAGGTATAGAATGCTAAAAATAGAGCAGGAGGAATTCAATTAACAGCGAGGATAGCAGTGAGATTGAGGTTCACATTAAGGATGTACAGCTCAGCAATATTCTCAGATCAAAACCGTCCAGCGCTGCTTCATTAAAGTGGTCAAATCGTGAGCGGACATTTTTGAAAAGTTTTTAAAATTAATTAGGCTGAAAGTTTGAGTCGGCGCTCATTAGATCTGGGAATAAGCGCCTTCGCCCAGATCCTTTGAAATCAGTTGCTTCTGTTCTTTAACTTTCTTCACCTCAAGCACAAGTTTTCCCTCATTGTTTTTTTCCGATTTTTGCTGCTACAATTTGATTAGTGAACTGACTTCACCCTTAATTAGACAGCTGTCTGTTTTTGTTTTTGTACAGTGTGTATGCAGTTTATGGCAGATTTACCACTTGAAATTCTTCATTTCTAGTTGGCGACAATTGATTTTACCAGCTGAGATGACAACCTGAGGCTAGCTAGCTGTTTAAGCGAACGTTGGCTCCATGAGTTGGTTTAAAAGCCTTTAGTTACAAAAGAGAAGGCTTTTAGGATTAGGACTTACCAATGTGTTTAGGGAACATAACTAATTTGAAGGCTGTGAGTCCAAAATTCCCCAAAATAAAGTGCAGGACAGAGTGTAATGTTGATCTAGTAGCATCCAGGACCCACTAATATACTGTGGAGATGCTCATTGTGAACAAAATAATGTATTTAGCCAACAAAGTGCTCTTTGGAAGTATCACTACCTTTCATAAAAGCAGACACAAACGCATTATGCAGTGGTTAGACTTTTACTGTTGAGTTTTTGGAAAGGTCTCCAATCTATTTAAATGCTAAGTATTTTTCCTACTGCAGCCAAAATGCACTCTGCTTCAACGTGTGGAGAAATCCAAAGCTTGACAGGCCTGCTGTGCCTAGTTATGGTTGCTAAGCTATGATTGGGCAATTGCGGTTGAAGGGAGGGTTTCAGCCAATAGTCAGCTCTGTTTATTTTCCAATAAATAACTTTTTGCTTCAGTATACCCCTCAGTGCATATTTAATCTATGTTTGTACTCCATTTTCTCTCTGTCTGTGTGTCTGTATGGTGTACTAACCCCTATGTGTTCATTTATGTCTGTAAGATGTTATTACTGTATTAAAAAATATATTGTGTTTAAGTTTACAATTTATTCACATGTATAAGTTAATTTCTCCTTCAGGTTTTGATGCTCTAGGCGACCTGTTGAAGCCTACAATGCCCACACACAATGCACCTCCTCCTCCTCTTCCTCAAATGGCCATCCATCCTGGAGGAAAGCTGCTAGCCAACGACCTCGACTCCTCTCTGGCCAACCTCGTGGGCAGTGAGTGTCCAGAAACACATGCACCTATAGCTGAATGTGTCAGCAAAGGCAAAAAAAAAAAAACCACTTACCAGTTGCAGTCTTTTACTGACATTAAATGGATGGCCTTGAATGTTCCTTTCATTCATATTGAAGGAGCACATATATAACGATACATACGATACTAAAAGACCTTTTGGCTTACATCCTTTTTTTGCTTTCAAGTGGCAAATTTACCTTTTTTCAACTGTTCCTTCCCCCCTTTAACTAACCATTCAGTCATATTCAGTCACATTATCTGCTTGGTTGGAATCCGTCCTCAGTAGCTTGCGAAGTTTTAAACTCCCCTTCATGAAATTTTGATTTAACACCTCTGATTGTTACAGTCCAGTGAAAATATGATAGATGAAGAGAAAGTAAAAAAGTGTTCAAGGCTGAAATACCTACCTCCCAGTCTTTCAACTATCACTCAATTTCTCTGTGGTTGTATCCCTCTCCTCAGATCTGCAGTTCGGTGGGACCCCAGCCAAAAAGTAAGTTCTGAGTTGTGATGATACCTTTTCTAAGTTATACTTGGCTGTAGGATTTATCCAGTGGCAAAACAAATACCACCCTGTTACATTTAACTCTACTGTTGTCTGTATTCCTAGCTGCCAACATGTAACTTTTACTACTGAGAGTCAAAATCTAATTTATTATTAAGTGTTCAATTGCTTTTAGCTGCTCAGGTTTGTGACAAAGTGCTTCTGTCGAGTTTAAAGTGTAAAGTAAGATTCTGCAGTACTTGCAATATTGTTGGTCTTTAAAATTCATGATACGCCTCACAGGGAATATAAAGAAATAATAAAGTTGAACGAAATAAAAATCTACAAGGAAAAAAGAACAAATCTACTGCAGTTTCTTTCTTACAAGACATGGTTTTGGTGTTGTTTTGAGCAAGTGAAACTGCAAAAAAAAAAAAACAACAACAGAGCCTGTTTTGTGAGCTTGTTTTGTTGCCCTGCTTGTCCCTCTCCAGGCCAGACATGCATTGGAGCCAGCCTGGAGAGAAGAAGCTGACGGGAGGCCAGAACTGGCAGAATAAGACCATGACGACCACACAGTGGAGCCCCGCGCCCATGGCCCCACAGCCCATGCCTGTACAACACGTGGTGAGGAGGCAGAAACACACGCATACAGAATGTGCCTGATGTGGTCTAGTGATTGTACATTTGCCCGTAAAAGGAACCATCAGGATGTCCTGTCCTCAATATTACTGTAGTTTATTACAACTTTTTGTTATTTAAGCCATAAATCCTATCAGAAGTAAAAACAATGAACAAACTGTGTTAATTGCTGAAATCTGGTAACAACGGCAACATTACTAATAAGAAATTTGGCAGGTTAAGAAACATGATCAGACGATCAGACAGGTTTTTAACAAACCGCCAGCAAATTTATTTGGAGAAAATGAAGGCGACCAGTGTGACTTATAGAAATGTTGCTGTTCCAAGATCTCAGAAATGATACAAATAAGAAGTTGTAATAGACTTGATCCTTGACGAGGATCCATCAAGGTGTCTGTAAGTCCTGGAAACATCTTAAAAAGTGTTTCATTGGCTAAATTCTGTCTCTTTAAAGTTCTTCAAAAGTTAAATTAATTGTTAATTTCTGCTTTAAAAAGTGTTTAATATGTCCTGCCGTCTAATTGTATTGTATTAAAGGAATAGTTTGACAAACTGGGAAATAAGCTTATTCACTTTCATGATGAGAGTAAGATAAGAAGATTAATAAGATTAATAACACTCGCTGTCCATTAAATGTAGCGCTACAACCGGTTAGCTTAGCTTAGCATCTAGACTTGAAAGAGGGAGAAACAGCTAGCCTGGCTCTGTACAAAAGTAACAAAATCCACCTACAGGAACCTCTAAAGCTCACTAATTAACACGTTATATCTGTTTGATCAAAAACAAGCCAAGATTTTACGTGGTGATATATGCCAGACCATTACATGACTACAGACTGCAGACTGTTAGCTTAGCATAAAGACTTTGACTCTGTAACAAAATCACAAAAGCAAATGCCGGAAGCACATTTCCCAAACTATTGTCAAACTGTTCCTTTAACAGTGAAAACTCAGTGTAGCTGCACAGAACATGTTGTTTTTCACCTTTCTGCAAATTTCAGAGGCAAGATTAATGCAAAGGATTTAGTTTGGATCTGTAAAAACATTTATCTGAATGAAACTCACAGACACCTTGCTGAATAAATGTAAAACGTTTAGATTAGATAGTGCGCACACTGAACGCCGGTCGGTCTGCATGAGAATGTGTCGTACTTAGTTGTGTCTTGTCTATAGATGGAAGTATTGGTCTGTGTGTGTGTGTGTGTGTGTGTATTGACTTGGTGCAGTATATAGCTGCCTGTGCATGCTCTGTGTGTGTGTGTGTGTGTGTGTGTGTGTGTGCTCTGCTGATCTTGGCAGCTCCTGATTGTCCTCCTGATCTCCGGACAGCAATTTCTGGCTGACGAGGACAAACTGTCACTAACCCTCCGCTTCCTCTCTTTCTCCCTTTCCCCCCAATATCTGTCTTCTTTTTTTTTTTTTTCGCTCTCTCTCTCTCTCTCCTGTTGGTCCTTTCCTTCTTTCTTCCCCCCCTACTGTCCCCTTCACCCCTGCTGTCATTCCTCTCCCATCTCTCCTTTCCTGTCCCACTCATCCTCTTCATGCATCTCTTCCCTCTGTTTTTGCACCGTCATCCACTCTTCTTCCTTCCCGTCTTCGCTCGTGCTCTGTTTTATCGCGTCCCTTGTTTTGCGTTGTCATCTGCTCGTCCTGTTTTCGCTACACTGCCTTTGACATTTGCCCGTCCGTATTTTGACCCCTCATACTTTTTTTTTTCCCCTCTCTCCTTTTGTTTCCTTCACTTGTTGCTGTTTGTCCACCATGTCTGCCTGCGTTGTGGTTCTTTTTCTTTTTGTACTGTACCACTTTTCTCACACGTTTTTCCTCTTATATACTTTTGTCTTTTTCTCATTCTCCCTCTTTCTCCCTTTCTACCCATCCTAATTCCCATCTTGCTTTCCTTCCATTGTAATTCTCTCACTCTTCCACACCTTTCCTTCCCCTCTCTCGCCTTCTCTTGGTCTCTGCCTCCTCACACGTTTTTTTTTTTCGCTCCCCTCTTTCATCATCTCCTCATTTTCTTGGATTCTGTCTTTCGTCCGCGCATTGTCACTTTCTATCACCCTCTTCCCTCTCCTGTGTTTCTCTCTCTGTCATCTCTTTCTCTTTCTTTCAATCTCCCCTTCCCCTCTCCATCTTTCTCTCTGTCTGTCTTTTGTCCTTTTCCCTTGTTGCGTCCTGATGCAGAATGGAATGTTCTATACTAGTTATGTAAGTACTTATCCCTGTTTAGTAAAACAAGTCTTACCGAGCTGCTCAATGCCTTTTGTAATGTGCTTCCAACCTCCCTCTCTCTCTGTCTTTTGCTACATCTCTGTCTGTCACCTCTTTTCTTTCTTGCACTCTTTGAAGACACTTGTTTTAAAAGACCTCAGTGTTATTTTTTCTTGCCCACTTTCCGCAAATAACCCTCTCACCTCTGCTACAGCCTTATGATCAGTACTAGTAAACTGTCTGATACCAGGAAGTCAGAACAGGGTGCTACTTTTCACCTGCTCCCCTACTGCTTCCCTTTGACAGCCTCTCTTTGAGATCAAGTTTTGCCTCTAGTACGTCTCCCTTAAAACTGTACGTCTGGTGATATTCTGTATTTTTCTTTTTGTCAGCAAATTTCAAATGAGTTGATCCTAATAACAAGGTTTGCCTGTGGATCCAAAGGCTGTTCTTCTGTGCCATAGAGCTCCATATTTGTCCAAAAATCTATTAAAAAAACATCAGTGACCCTTGCATGTTTGACTATACTCGCACACTGCACACTGCAGTTGATCTTCAGTCAGTGCCCCAAATGTTGTAAATATTCACTAGAGCCCCAAAACAACAGCGGAAATGATCCCCAACAAATCCCTTGTTTAGTGCCATTTGAGTTCCATTTGCTAAAAACTACAATTCCCAGATGTCTAAGGAAGTTGCTGAATTTTAAAGATTTACATCTGTAGTAGGAGCGAGTGTGCTTGGGCTCGAGTGCCACAGACAAGTTAGGGAGCTCAGGCAGTACTGAGCGACAGACTAACACATTGTTGGGTTTTGTTGACAACAAGAAAAAGACAGAACTTCACCAGCTTTATCCTTAGACCCAGCGGCATGTGCAGACAGACTCTATAATATGATTCATGGTCTGTGTCAAGACTTGTGAAACTAATGCTAAAGCATCTACTTTTTTAGACGTTATTGACTCTGGCTAACAAGAGCAGGAAGCAAAAACAGGAATGGCCTATTGGGATTAATTCAGTAGCACAATAAAAAAAAATATATTGTTCTCTCAGCAAAATAAGCAGAGAAAAAAGAAATGTATTTTCCCTCCTACGTGGTAAAAGACAAAAGTCTCTGCATTGTGTGGTCAGCACTGAACTGAATCCTGCTTTCATCGTACATTTAGCAAGACAAGCCAACAGGAAGAAAAAAGATCAGCTTTGACCACAAATAAATAAAGCTTAGAGAGGGAAAATATTAATAGAACTTCTCATTGTCTCTGAGAAAATATGTAAAACAACAAATATAACCTCCACAAGCCAATAACAATAATAATAAGTAAGTCATAGCAGTATGTTGCAGTAATATATAAGACCTCACAGGTAGCAGAGCAGCGAGTAAGTAAGCTGTCATGCGTCACGCATGATAAGTAAAACTCCCACATCTGAGATACTCGCCAGAAGGGCAAGGTTGCAACGGCCTGTACTTGCTTCATACTTGCCAGCAAGAAATCCTACAAAACCCTCCACTTATTTAACCTTCACTTAACCATGCAGGTCAGATCAGAGTCTCAAGATCAGAAGTCTGACAGAGAAAGCATAGAAAGAAGAGAGTTGCCTTATAGAGGGAGATGGCAAGGGGAATAGCAAAAGTTCAGTGCTGAATCGCTCAAACACCAGATTAAAGATGTATAGAAGACAGAAAAATGAATACGCAGGTAGGGAGGGAGGCACCTCGGAGACAGAAAGCGAGATCGAAACAACAGGAGAAAGGTTGAGCATAAAAAGTTAGATACAAACAGACAGATGAATGTAAAGCGTGATGCACTGAAGGCCGACAGCTGGGCTGATAGACAGATGGACGAAGATGCTGATAGAGAAGGTGTAGTGGTGCATAAACAGTGTCTCACCTGCTCTGTTTTTCTCTCACACATCTTGTCATGCTAAAAAATAAAATGAAGTGATGCCCCCCTGTCATTTTGCACAAGCAGGCATAAACACAGACAGACCAGTCGCACTCAGAGACAGATGGATTGCTAACTGAAGCGTGGTTCAAGTCCAGAATGGCGCTAAACTCAATTAAATCTTTAATCACGGTTTCAGATACTAAAACCGCAAAGCCACTAGTGTATTACTAAATGAGCGGTAACTTATCTGACGGATGAATCAAGTCTTTTGTCTCGAATTGGATTCTCTTTCTTACCTCTCTGGATGCTCGCCAGCTCTGCTGCAAGAAAGAGATCAGATTGATCAATGGTTATGATCAGCTTTCACAGCCTGCTCCCTGGAGGCAGGAATTAAAAGCAGATAGCTGATGAATCATATTGATTGACTCCTGAGATCAGTTCACTGGTTCACCTGACACGACCAGAAACCTTTTACCTTTAGATCTCTTGGCAGAGAATCCCTTCCTGTCCTCTTTTTGAGGTTCTCTTGGAGCTTTTACAATCTCTTTAAGATCAATTTTTTAAAATTCCTTACACAGATTTCCATACTGACTTTGCAAAACCTCACCTAGCAGCACATAATCTGTATCAAATGAGGCAACACATGCTGTTTATCAAGTTTATCACAGCATGACAACACGGTATATGTTAAAATAAAATGGTCATTATCTAAAAACGCTGTCTAACTGTAATTAAGTCTTGTCAGAAAAGTCTGCAGTGCTCATTTAGTCGTCATTAGTAGGAATGAGAAAACACTTACAATTTATGCAGCAGGAGTCCTTATTTAAAGTAAGTAAAACGTTCAATTTACTGAGATGCATTTATTGAATATAATATATTCCTTTAGAAATGAAAAAAGAAGTCTGAAGGTTTTCAAACCGTTGCGTGAGAGTTGCGTAAGTCAGCTGTCACCTAAAAAAGTAAATAACTCTGATTACATAGACACGATACACATATTTTTACATTCAGTGTGGCTTACGCTTCCAGATGGCTTCATCTCCAATATAGCAAATAAATCCACCCAGACATCACAGACATTGCCTCAGATTTATCATGTTTTCATAAGTTTTCTTCTGTATCAAAGGAATCAAATGAGAGTTGTCTGTATATCCATGGATATAGCAAACAGAAACTACTAATAGTTAATTTGGCATACATTTAATTGTGCCAATTTGTTAAGAAATGTAGGCTTAAAACAAAGGGCTCGTGTTTGTATCCTACAGCCAGACCGCGCTTCTGTGCTCCAATTTACCTTTTCTGCTCTATATCGACCACAAACTTTGTTTTTATTCAAGGCCCCAAACACTAGAGTCATCTAAAATACAGCAAGCTGCAGTAATACATAAAATATATATAAATAAAGAAAGAACGTGTTTGTTTTCCTTTTTTTCCCACTACTGACAAGGACTAAAAAATACAAGAAATTGTCTGGAAGTAAAATGAGGAGAAATGCATGCAAATGTTTGGAACTGTATGTTTAGTAATATACATTGAATCTCTGAGTCTTTGCAGCTTTGCACATTGAAGGGGAGCTAAAACAATCGTAAAATACTGTGAGACTAGACTGCATTTATAGATCTACGAGCATAACAGGCTATTTGTTTAAAGCATTGATTAAGGCGTCATTGCATAAGTAGCAATTAAAGGATAATGCTAGTGTTTCATTTTTCCCTGTAAAAAGGCTAAACCCACCATTGTATTGCCTTGATTAATGTAATTCATCATTTGACGTAGGACTGCGAATGTAATATATGATTTCACACAGCTAATTACTGCGTTTAATGGAAATATTGTACCTTTTTTCTCAGTTATGTGCACTGTTACATACTCCAGCTGGAGACTTCCAACTCTGGCGGAGTGCGAGTACTTTTAATACCTCTGCAACGATTGAGGCGTTATAAAGTCATGCTAAGAAAAAATGCCTCAGTTGTCTCATTTACAATGATGGATTAGGTGTGTGAAGGCGGCAGTGTGTTTCTGCAAGCTGTTTTTAATGGGTTTTTGAAAACAGTGGGAGCCTGCAACTTCCAGGTGAGCAGGCTGACCTGCAGCAGAGCAAACAGTCACAGCTTCTGACTGCAGCAAATACTGTACAATTATATGTGATTGGGGGATGGGGGAATCACACCGGTATTATCCTGTCACGTCTGCAAATGCTTGCAGGTATTCCGAATCCCACCGAGAGACGCAGATCCTTATTTGTTATATACGAGAAAAGTTGTCAGAGTGCCTGCCTCTGCGATATGTAACTCTTCAAACTGTGAAATTACTGCTGGCGATGGATAAACTCATCTAACATCTGTGAATATTAATACTCGTATGTATGTTATAGATTGCCCACTGTTGTGCAAGAGGCACTCCGCATTGCATCTTCGCTTCCAATCTTGTAAACTGATTTTCCTCCAGGACATTCACTGATACCACACTGTAAAGTACCACGGACAACTCGCTCCCATAAATTACCAATGTGTCGAGCAGAAATCGGCCGCTTTGTCGAGGATGTGAGTGGGCTGCAAACGACGGCTAAAAATTGGCCGTCACGTTGTATTTGAGGCCCATTCAGCCATAGTGGATTTGATTTGTGAAGGAGGGCAGGGCTAAACGCTGTCCTACTGAGCCACCCTTTTTAAAGCCGTGGTAATGATTGCTCCCAGTGGGATTCCACTAAGTACCTTTGCTGCATGCTGTGTTGTAGCACTCCTAATGTGCACACGCACACTTTATCAGCATTAAATTTATTCTCCTTGGACATACATTAGACTGTTTTATTTTGTGTTCAGAGTCGGGCATGTCTAATAGAGACAGATGAGATGTTTGTTTAAGCTGCGGGGACTAAAAGTGTCTGAATGTTCTGGTATTTGTTGCACTATGGCAACCACAGTGGCTTTCCACACATGCAAGTTGACACAAGCCATAAAATGTTTGACCCCAGGTGTGTTTTGTCTGTTACGTTGGCAGCCACCTCTGCTTCTCTAAAATCCTGGTTTCTGCTCATCTTCTAGGCTCCAGCTCCCATGGCTTTTCCCATGACCACACCGCAAGTGCCTGTGTATGGAATGGTGAGTGCCCAAAAAACTGCTCCCGTACAGTAAATACAGTAAATACAGCCATCACATTCATATAGGTTAGCACTGCGGCAAACAACTGTCATTACTTATTAATCTGTAGATTTATTTTCTCAATAAATCTATTAATCATTTGCCTGTAAAGTGTTTAGGTTGTTCTATAAAATGGATAAAAAGGGACAAATCCTCACATTTTAGAAAGCTAGAACCAGCGATAGTTGCTTGATAAATGTTTTAGAGGATTAGTTGATTATCAAAATAGTTGCCATAGCTACTTTCACTTGACTGTTTTCCCTTGTCTTCTCTCTCTATTTACCCTTTTCCTTCCCACCTTTCTCTCTTTCTCCTTTTTCATCCCTGTTGTTCTGCCTGTTTTGTTTGTTTCTGGCTCGTCATGCCTTTTTGCTGTTTTGCATCATTGGTTTCTCACCGTCTTTTCGTCTTGCTGTCTTATTTCATTTTTCATTCTTGTTTTGTTTCTCTCTCTCTTTCTTTCTTTC